TCTGCATTAGACATATTGTCAGTCCATATAATTAGCTTCTTCCTGGACCAGAGTGGTGAGAAGGTGCGAATTGCTATGAGCGTAGTCAGTAGTTCGTGCTCCTGAATGTTGTGATTTTCAGTTATATTTTGACAGGACCATTTAAATTTGGTAAAATAGCTCTCAAAGGTTGCCCCACCCCAATATTTGATGCGTCTGTATAGAGGTTGTTTATTTCAGGCTGTTGCCAATCTTGATCTTCTATTAAGTAAGTGTCTGGCCACTTTTCTATTATACTACACCACCACTGGATGTCATTAGTCATCAGATTAGTTATGCGTACATGGTGTTTGGGGTTTTTGACTGCTTCTTATGCTTTTATCAGATGTTGCACAAATGGTCTTCCTTGGGGAAGCACCTGGTACATCCACATTAAAGAGCCAACAATTGATTAAAGGGCCCTTTTTCGGCACCATTTTTTGGTGGCCCAGTCTTCTAGTAGCTCACGCATTTTTTGTTGTTTTAGAGGTGGCACTGATACTGACATTGTTTTTGTGTTTATCATAATTCTGAGAAATGTTATGCATGTGTCAGGGCCCTCTAATTTCGATTCCTTATATGGGATGTTCATTATGTTGAGTATCCGTAAAAATTGTTGTAGTTCTTTCTGACCATCAGGTCTTGATATTATTAGGAAGTCATCCACATAATAGATTATTGACCTTATGCCTTGTTGCATGGCTATCCATGTAATTACATCTGCAAATCTACAAAAAATACCTCCAGATGCTCTGTTGCCAAAAGCCAAAGCCTTGTCGAAGTATATTTTATTATCTATTTTTATTCCTTGCAGAACCTGATCTAATAGATGTACCGGAAGTATGCGATATGCATCCTTAATGTCAATCTTTGACAGAATACACCCTCTTTTATAGTAGTTGATCTATCTTATTGCATGGCTAATATTCTCGTATCTTGTTTCAAAATCTATACGATCAATGCCATCATTAACACTTGAACCAAATGGTGCTGATAGGTGAGATATAACGCGAAACATCTTGGGTATTGTGCCTTTTTTCTCGACTAGGCCACAGGGATTCACTTGAAACAGGTCACATGGGGTTGTTCTATTGAGAATGGACCACACATTCGGCCTTTTTCTACCTCATCCTTGATGTATTTGTTGAATGCTTCTGAATCCAGATCGATTGATTTTAAGTTTTCCTGGATTCTTCTTGTACATGTACCTGAAAAATTGAATCTGAAATCTTCTTTGATTCCTCTTGTGAGGTATTCTATGAAGGGCTGGTTGGGATGCTGGCTTGTCAGTATTTCAAATGCTTTGATGTTAATCATTGTTACTACATTAAATTTATCTAGATCAATTTGTAGCAATGTTTGCATTTCTTCTGGAGTCATAGGTATCTCTTGTGGAGGAATGCTGGATAATATTTCATTTACTGACTGCAGAGTCGGTAGATCACATGTGGTCATATTTTGTGATAGTTTAAAACGTGATGCATGATGAGAAATTATTCTTTGCCTATTGTCTAAAAAGTGTTTGTATTGGTTTTATATTAGTTGATTGGTTTGATGTTTTTTTTTTTTTTTTGTATTATCATAATTTTGCTATGTTTCTGTATTCTGCCTTTCTTTCTTTTTTTTTTTTTTTTTTTTAATTGTCTTCATTATACTCTCTTAGTCTGGTACTCGAATTAACCCTGAGGTTATTAGTGAAGCATCTTCGCTCTTGATGCCCTATCTTTTTACAGGAGAAACATGCATGAACCTGACCACATTTCTTATCATCATTACAATTCTGTCAGTTCCAATTGATAAAGATTTCTCTATTGTCATACCATGAAGTATCCAATTTTGGAACTCGTGGTCTGTGAACTTTTACTCTTCTGGTGGTTGTCACATCAAAATTCTCTCCTTCTGTCTCAATGTCTCTGTCAAACAACGTGGAATCACGATTCATTACTAATGCTAGATGACGATCTTCTCATAAGCTATGATAGCAGTAAATTCATATTTGATGCAAAGGTTGTTAATATGGTCATGATAAAAATTTAACTTTTGCTCTCGTTCCTCATAAATAACGAGAATGGCTTTAGCATAAGCTCTGAATACCAGAAGCCATTCAGATATATCATAAAATTTATTATATATTGGACATTTTCTAATAGATATGATGCCTCCTTCAGATGTTTGTAATGGAACTTCTTCATGGTTAAACTTTGCACTTGCTTTTATATTTTTGTAGGCGAAATCTTGGAGGTCTATATAAGATCCAAGTGTATTGATTTCTATAGCCATGATGTCAAACTTGGCTTACAGGATAACATCTCAATTATTTTCTGCCCGTCTTACCAGTTTGATATCCACCACAACCTTTTGCCTTCTACTTTTGTGGCAAATAGGTTTGAAAACCCTTGTACCATCGGAAACTGTTTTATTAGTGAGTAATCTATTGATTGATATTTGCGGGCCTTGTGTCTTATTATTAACAGTACATTATCTGCACTGGATGCAGTGTCTTGTGTCATCAGATTTACTATCCTTCTGTTGAATGTAGGAGTAGGTGGATAATTACCTGGAATAATGTCATCTTTTGTTCTTGCAGATGAGCATATTGTTATAGGTGTTGTGAGATTGCTCTGCTCTTCTTCTGTAGGTTGGTTGTTATTAAGATTTGGTTCACCATCCATTAATCTAGCTTGTTTCAGTTTATTAAGACGTTCATTTATTGTGGTTTGTATTTGCTCATTTTATTGTTTCTGGTTTTTATTTTGCTGGTTTATCAGTTCTTCACTTTTTCTATGAGGACTGCTATGGTTACTTGATATGCACTGTCAATGTGCTTCTTAATCTGCTGGTCTATATCCTGTGCTGGTTCTTTAGGATCATTATCCATTTTTTTTTTTTTTTATTACATCGAAGAACTTCCTTGTTTCCAGGCTTGTTACCAAGGTAGCCTTTATTCATTGTTTAGTATATTTATGACTCCCTTGTCCTACTGCTATTGTTTGTTGTAGTATTGTCCTTATGTTGCCAGTATGTGTTATTCGCATATGATTCTCACTTTCAATCGACTTCCTTATTGTGGGTTTGGTATGATGACTGCTCTGTTCCTGGTGTTTGTAGCGAGTTGTGTAGCCACTTCTCTTTTCGATCACGTGATCTACCATTACTTCACAAGAATTTACGTCTAACCGATTACCTCACCTCTTAACTAATTACTTTTTGTATTACTATGTGATTTGTTAAAGATTGTCACCAATCAAATCAACAAAAAAGTTAATCATGTGCATATTTATTACTGTTACATATTTTATATAATTAATAATATCAGATATTAGACATTTTATATCAATCGATCAAATACAATTACAAATATCAATATTAAAACTTGTTAGCGTTAGTAACCTCTTTTTAACACAAATATTATTACGAATATAATAATTACAAGTTAACTTGCTAAGTTGTTATTTGTCATGGATTTATCAAACTTTTCTGTTGAAATGACAAATACTAGTAATGAAAGTTCTAAAAATCAAAGAATTATTAAACTTTATCAATGTACTTTATGTCAAGTAAAGAAATCAAAAGTATAAAAGTACTTTATCAATATGAAACTCTTAAACATAGTAATTACAAAACACTACCATCTGATATTCCTCTTTTATCTTTAAATACAATTCAGGATTTTCATGAAACATTAATATTTTTTATTAAAAAAAATTACCACTTAATTTTAAAAAGACTGGAAAACAAACTATCAAAATTCCGTGTAGTGAAAGCCAATTTATTAGCATATTTGGATCATGGATTCAACATTATTCACTTTGTAAAAAAAGATATACATGCATTTTTAAAGGTCAAAGTGCTGATGCAACAATAGCAACAATATTGCAAGATACTGAATGGAGTGGACGATGGTATGAATTGGATCAAAAAGCATATGTAATGTATATGATTCATCATTATCAGATTTTCAAAAAGCACCTAAAATAAAGATAGAATAGTATACTGAAACAATAATTGACGCTCATCAAAATACAATTTCTACGGGATTTATTATTATTAAATTTCAAATTGATACTATTAGTTATCAAGTTCAAAAGTAATAAATATTATATGTATTATTATAAATTTTATAAGTATTAATTATTAACTTTATTAATTTATTTAGGCAATAAT